TGGGTGAATTGCACGCCTGCCCCATTTGAGAGAGAGTGTTAGACTTGGAACAGATACAGTTCTTAGATCTTCAAGAGTTTCTTGACTCACTCTTTAGAGAGAGTAGCAGTTTTACCTGGTAGTTCAAATACTCACTTGCTTACATTGGGTAAAACTGTTTTATAGGTAACGAAATACCACTTCAGAAGCCTTCTTTAGTTAGTGCTCAGGTAGAACATTTTCCCAAATAACAATTCACAAGGGGAAGTTTCTTTCTCCGAGCTCCTGCCTAATCCAGATACTACAGAGCAGGAATGTCAACCTCATGTTTACCGGGGGCCACGGCAGCCTCGTGGTTGTCTTCAAATGGGTGAAGTAATTTTAGGACCGTGCACATGTAACTGCTCCTTAACTGTTAAGGAGCTGAAATTACATTTGGCCCTTTGAAGACCACCGCGAGGCTGCTGTGGCCCCTGGTGAAAATGAGTTTGACGCCCCTGCTGTAGAGGTGTGTGATTGGAGATGAGGAGCTGTGACGGTTCTTCCTTCTGTGGGCTTTTGTACTGCCCTTTCTTCAGTGTGTGGTTTAAGGAATAGGGGGAAACTATTGTGAAATGTTATGTGCAGGAAGGAAACTACTAATGAACTATCTCCAGACCTTGATATTTAGGAGTAAATGCAAGCAGATAGATCTCTTTATTATAAAAACATGTGTAGGCATATGCTGAAAGATTGGTAATGAAGAGTAAGTGTAAAAAGTGTTAAGTACAGCTAAAGCATACTAAAAGTGATTTTTTTAAACTTGCATAACCTTTAAAAGGGGAGGTAGCTGGATTCCCAGACCAGCCTCTAAAAATCTTTTTAACCTCCAGTACAGCCTAACTGTGCTACCTGATGCATCTAGAATCTGTGTTCCAAATCAGATTTTAAAATGTGCGTTGTACTCCTCCTTATTTACAGTCTTAGGGATGTGAAACCTTCTGAGGCTTTTGGGTGGTACAGGCAGCAGTGGCAGCTCCCCAGAGGGGGGTCCAGGAAAGTGTGTGTGTGATGGACGACCTATAACTCATACATCCATGTGCCTCTGTGAAAGATGCATAACATATAACTCACACATGTGTGCGTATGTGTGTGTGATGGATAACCCATAGGTATGTTAAGGGCTGTTTGGAAATGGGTGGTCCATACTGAGGCCTTCAAAGGGCTTGTATTTTATGAGAAAAGTATTTGAGGGCTATTCTTAATGTGAATGATGCCTCTGATACAGTAGAAACTGCATGTGAGAAATGACAATGGGGACACTCTGGAATATATCAACAGAAGGGTAGATGACAGAAATAGAAAAGTTCTGGCTGGTGTAGCTCAGTGCCAGCCTGTGAACAAGTGGGTCGGTGGTTTGATTCCCAGGCAGGGCACATGCCTGGCTTGTGGGCCAGGTCCCCAGTAGGGGGCGTGCGAGAGGCAACCACACACTGATGTTTCTTTCCCTCCGTCACTCCCTCCTTTCCTCTCTCTGAAAATAAAGCCTTCAAAAAAAGGGTTAGATGTGAATATGAGAAGCCAGTTGCCTTTTATGTGTTTGGAAAAGTCTTAGATTTGATTTGGTCTTTGGTTTCTTTCAGGAGATAACTTGCAAAAAAGCAGGGGTTGAGATCCTGCAGTTGTACGTGTTTTATGTTAAAAATAGCAAGAGCACACGGGGATGGATTTGGGTTGTGGATGAATATTTACTAATGGGCCAAAGGAGGGATGCTAAAAATTAAATCATTTGCTCTATGTAAGTATCCGTTTTCATATCTGAAGTCTCACTGAAAGGTGTTAGATGCATTTTGAGAGGTACAGATAATCTGTATTTCATGCTTTCAATCTCGAGAAATCTCAGGGTTACGCTAACAGTTTTTGACACGGGTACGGATTAAACTGAATTTTAAGTAGGACTGTGAGACTTTCTGGCTGTGGTGAACCAGGTTCTGCCGGACCATTTCCGTCATTGATAAGATGGGTTTGCTGTACCGCGATCTGTGGACGTTCCGGTCATTTTCCCATTTTGGGTTTCTGCTTTAATTTAGAGAGTTTGGTCATGCAGTGTGTAAAGTGAAGTAAGCAGACCTTCCCTGTGCCCTGGCCAGTCCAGACTGAGTGTGAAGACATGGCTGCCTCAGGGCCTGTGTTGGAGATTTAGCCTGAAATCGGTCTCGCAGTAGGTGAGCCGTGTTCGCTGTGGGGTTTGAAATCTCCAGCCCAGTCCTGATTTTCACACTTTCATAGGAGGTTTTATTTTACATTTTGTAACAAAGTGTGGAAAAAAGTTATATTTTTATTTTTAGGCATAAATGCTAACTTAAATCACTTTGGGAAACTGTGATTTTTAGTTCTCAATTTTAGTTTTACAATGTCTATCAATATATATGTTTGTATGTTGAAATGTGAAGTCAGCACGTGTGTAACATCAGTATGTTGCTTGAACAGTTTCTGTCATTGTTGAGTCCACCGTTTTTCTTGACTGGTGAAAGAAACACGTGGAAGTCCCATGGAATTGTGAGTTTGGAGCAGAACTGTTTGGTGTGCCCGTGCTTTCATTCAGGTAGCGCAGTTGTGGCAAACTCCGGGGACCCCCAGGCCTGAGCCTGGCTGTGTTGTCTGGTCAGGCCCTGGCCGACCCCTCGCAGACCCATCTCCTGAGCCTCCCCGGGGCCTTGGGTGTCTGGTCGCGTCTCCTGCATGGCACCGCGGTCTTCGTTCAGCCCCCCGCCTTCAGCGAGTCGTTCCCTTCTGAACCGGGATGGCCACTGACACTCATTTTTATGCCTCCAGTGCCTGGCCAGTGCGCATGGTAGATACTCAGTTAACGTGGGGTGAGTGGATCAATCCTGTCGTTTGAATGAGCACCAGGGCAACCCTAAGAAGGAAGAAGGGCAGAGACCGATGCAGCCTTGAGTCGGATGTGGGTGGGAGGCAGGCCTGGTGGTTCTTCTCACCCCCTCAACTGGGCTGCAGCCCTGGCACCCCAGTTCCTATCTCTCCCCTCTTCTCTGCCAGGAGGCTGCCCTGGCCAGGGTTGGGAGCGACCTCCCAGTCCTCCAGTACAGCAACAGCTGCTAGCCCTCACCTGCCGCACACCGGGGCTGCACGTGACCGTCTTCTCTGCAGAACACCGCACTTCCCAGGAGGTCTGACTGCATTTCAGACCCTTCTTTTGGTCTCTTGGTGGACTGACTTCTTTTTTTTTCCTTCTTCCTTAAATGGTGATATTTTTTTAAGAACAGTCCTCCACCCATTATTCTCTTTCCACATATTCTTCCTGGATAAAATTTTAAGTTTTTACATGTTTCCTGTTCATTAATTCACCCAGTATTTATTAAACATTTGCTGTGGGCCACGAGCACTGTCTGACTTATGTCCTGAATACATAGTAGTGAGTAAAACAGAAGAGGTTGCTGCCCTCCAGAGGCACCTGTCCTCTGTGTGCCGACTTCCTTAGTTATCGTTCTGGCTCGCACCTGGCCTCCCAGATGGAAACTCTGCCTCTTCCTTCTGGAGAGTTTCAACTGGATTTCCGATGGGAACCTCAAATCTCGTGTGGAATACAAAGGCTCCCACTTCCTGGCAGAGGGCTGATCGGCTTCTACCGCCCCTGTGTGCTCTGTCTCAGACGGTGTCTGACTGTCAGTGAAGCCACCCTTGATTCTGCTCATTTATCAGTCAGTCTCCAAGTGGTGCTGCATTTCCATGCTGTGACTTGAGGCTGGGCTGGCTTGGTCCACCGCTGCTGCCAGCTGCGGACCTCAGCTCACCGGCCTCCTGCGGCTGCCCACCCCGGCTCCAGCCAAGCCGCCTGAGAGGCCAGCCTCCCAAGAGGCGGATCTGACTGCAGCTCCCTTCATCCCTCAGGGTGAAGCCTTTAAAACGGCACGTACGGCTCACCCTTATGTGTCCTGGTTTCTGCCGGCAGCAGCGGCTTCTCTGCAAATTCCTGCTTCGTTTGGCTCTAAACTGCTTATGTTTCCGCACACTCTCAAGGCAGGTCATCTCCCTGGAGCCGGTGCCTTATGCTATGTCTTCCGCTTTGTGGTATTCCATGCCTTGCCCCTTCCCACCTTGAACCTGGTTTCTTCCTATTTATCCTGCGAATCCTCAGTCCTTCCTGAGAGTTTCCGTGAACTTGGTGTGAACAGAGTCTGGCACACAGTAGGGAGCAACATATGGTTTTGGAAGGAAGGACCCACTGACCTGTTCGACGAGTGCTGCAGGCCTTTGTGGCCAGCGTGGAGGGACCGGCCCACCCTGCACTGCTCCTTTCAAGCACCCGGGGAGTGAAAGCCCAGGCCCGGGCTCCAGTTCTGACTCTCCCCAGTGGCCTTGGACCTGAGGCCCATGGCTGACTCACTAAGCCAAAAATAAAACTTAAAGTCTAGTTTTGAACTGGTAATGTTTGGTAAGTTCCTTACTTACATTGGGAAGGTGGCTTGTGACTCATAGTCTGGGTGCTTATGCATTCATGGGCACTAGTAGTCTTTGGAAGTTTTCACCCTAGACATTCTGTATTATTTAAAATCTATCTTTCACTTTCTAAACAGCACTCAGATGCATTAATGTTTGATAGGGACTTGCAGACTCAGGTCTAAAATGAAGTAGTTCTAAGAATACTTTGCAGTCAGAAAGTGTCCTAACCGCTCAGTATTTGTTGCCTTTACTCCTCGGGGGCGAAAGGAGCTGAGCGAGACTCCCCGTGCTCAGCGGATGCTTGCTCCCTGCCTCGGAGGCAGAGTCTTTTCTTGTGTTCTTTACGCAGGACTGTTCTTCATTGTTAAAACCTTCCTAAAAGTAAAAAATAAAATGTCTTGTATTCATCTAGGCATTTTTCTTCATGTTTTTCTGGGGTTTTATTTGTCAGGTCCTTGTTGTTAATGTTTCCAGAAGGATAGTTGTGTTTTTAACGTACATGTCCGCACGCTAAACTTACTTTCTGCCTTCGTAATGAATGCTGACGTAATAAGCCTCCTTCGTGTATTCCTCCACAGGGCAGCCCCATGGACCCCATGGTGATGAAGAGGCCTCAGTTGTATGGGATGGGCAGCAACCCTCATTCCCAGCCTCAGCAGAGCAGCCCGTACGCTGGAGGTTCCTACGGCGCCCCCGGCCCGCAGCGGTACCCTATGGGCGTCCAAGGCCGGACCCCGGGGGCCATGGGAGGAATGCAGTACCCACAGCAGCAGGTTTGTGCTCCTTGTTACTCCCTTCTGTCCCCTCCTGTCTCTGGTGACAGCTTTGTCTTGTCTCTTATGGTCCACCTAAGGTTAGTGTTGGGAGAATTAGGGGGTGTTTCACTGATCTTCTGCTTTTAAAAAAGTTTCACGAGTTTTTTCAAGTAATCACATGTATATATATTTTTTTCCCCTTTCTTTTAAAGCAGGAAAGGTGATCTTTTTAGAACAAAGTGAACAAAAAGCCTGTTTGGTAGAAGACCAGTGTAACCAGCCGCATCTGAAAGATGTACGCTGTCATCGTTCTGCAGCAAATTGTGTAGATCTTAGCCTCAAAGTGAACTTGACTTTTAACCATTTCTGGCGTCAGACTGTGTCTGATTTGGAGCTGTGCATAGACTTCCTAAGGCAAAGTTTTAAGTTATTTAAAAAAGTCTTTCTCATGAAGATAGCACCAATCTGAAAAGTGTTCATTAATTTCCCAACAACTAATTTTGCTTTTAAGTCTTACACATTTATCCTATACCTTGTTTTAAAAAAGATTTTATTTTTGGAGAGAGGGGCAGGGGAGGGAGAAAGACAGGGAAACACTGATGTGAGAGAGAAACATCGGTTTGTTGCCCTTTGTACCGTTGCCTCTCTGGTCAGCGCCCCAGCCGGGGGCCTCACCCAAAACCCAGGCGTGTGCCCTGACCGGGGATCAGACCCGCCACCTGCCGCTTTGCGGTACAGCGTGCAGCACACAGTCTGCTGAGCCACACTGGTCAGGGTCCCCTGTCACTTTTGAAACAGATTTCTGTATTTCATGCAAGAGGACTTGATGCATCCCTGTTTTCTTAGAATCATGTTTTCTGTTTTAAACAAGAAAGATGTTTCCTGTTCTCAAGACCCAGTATTTTTCTCTAGAATCCAGTAGTTGGAGTTCCCTTAAATGACCATCTGCCTTCTGGCAGCACCAAACCTAACAGTCTCCTGGGCGCTGGAGGGTATGTCGTTGTTACGCCGGCCTGAGGAAGCGTGAAATTTGGAAAGGATAGATTGGATTGTGACTTGTCAGGGTGTTTTGTGACTAGCACCCCCAGAAGGCTTTAACCCTGGGGGCCTCGGGCTGGTGCCCCAGGCAGCCCGCTGCCTCCCCGGAGGTGCGTCCACAGTGTCACCGGAACCCATCCAGGGTTTCCCAGGGCGTCTCTCGGGAAATTCTCCCTCTTCTGGTGTTGGACCAGAAGCCCTCTGTGGAAATGAAAGCACCGGCTGGCACTTCTGCCCTCTCTCAAGTGGGTCAGAGAGCGACAGGTATGTTGGGCGCGGAGTACGGCCCGGCTTTGGAGTGAATGCTCCCGGAGAAGTTGCATTTCAGCCTGTTCTTTTCGAGACTGAGTATTGGTGACGTTTTTACCTTCAGGCAGTCGTAGGGAGAGAGAGAAGTAAGTTGGGCTTAGAGGCCTTGCTCTTGGTTCTTTCCACGGCCTTCATAGTGTCCTCACCCCTGTGTATGAACAGTTGGCTACTCAGAAGTCTAGCAGTCAGTTGCAGACTTAATTGTACTCTTAATTTTTCCAACATTACTCCTTTCTTCTGGCAATATTGTACTACCTAGAGTAAAAATCTTTCATTGAGACTGCTAATTGTGAGAGGGAGATAATTTGTACAGGTTTGAAAAGTAAGGTAAGAGTTACGATTTTCCTCTCTTTCCCTTTTTTTTACTTTAAAGCTATCTTGCCCTTAGATGGGGGGAAGTAGGCCCAGACGGCCAGCTCCTGACGCCCTCCCTGTGTCCAGTAGCTGATTTCATTTGGGAAAGAGAGGAGGGGCAGAAAGGTGGTAAGAAATAGCAGGTCCAGCGGAGAGGGGCAGACGCTGGCCTGGTCTCGTGTGCACACGTCCCTCCCCGCTGTGTTTTCCTGACGGGAAATTGGGAAGTTGTTTCAACAGGTGCATTCCTGGTACGCTGCTGAACACCCCGTGCGTTTTTCTCTGAATGCGTTCAAGTCTTCCTAGAAGTTTTTGACATGGTTTAGTTTGCAGTCCCTAAGTGGGACTCTAAAACAGTGGGAGAAGGTGAATACCTAGGAATTTTTTCATTATTTTCTCCCCAAGACATGTAAGGCTGAAAGTAGAGGACACATTACAGATACTTAAAGAGTAGCCTTGTGCTCTTGGCTTTGCGGCTTTATTCTCTCCCTGTGGCTCTCATGTGCTTGTGCAACCCAGTAAAGATTGCATTTATTTGAAGGGACAAATGGATGATTACCTGCCAAGTATTTCAGCAAATTTTTAAAAAATGTTTTCTTCGTATCTCATTGTATTTTTTCGCTTGCCATTCCGCCCACACCCTCTTCCAGCTCCACCCATCCCCCCACCCCTGCAATCACCACAGTTGTCCATGTCCGTGAGTCCTTTCTTTCCAGCAAGTTTTTAATTAAAGCTTTAGATAAGGTATTTTACTGCCAACCAAAAGAAATGCCTGATTCTAAACACAGATCTTTCTAATAATGAAAGGGGAATGCTATGCCTGGAAGGAAGTGAGTCCCCGGCTGTGAAATGTCCAACTCGCTAAAGTTCATCATAACTGGCGGTTCTAAAAAACCTTCACTGTTTCTCACCTTTTCATTAGTTATAATACAGCCTAAAAAACAGGCCGTTTTGTTTTGAAATGGAAAAGGCGAGCCCTGACTGTGCACGCCCGTTCGAGTGTGTGTAACACTTGACAGGACACACAGTTTGTATCACAGCAAGTTCATGGGATCGGTGAGGTGCAGGCTTTGACATAGAAAAGAAGTCAAAATTTGGGGAAAGGTCATTAGAACGTATTTATTTTGTTAGTTTCAGTCTGTGTTCATTGGTGAGGAATTTTCAGTGAGTTGCTTTGTTTGTGACTTTTGGGTGATTACAGGTTGGTCCCCAAAGTCCTGGCTCATTGATTGGCTGCTGCGTGTATTCATCTTCTCCTGATACTGATGTAATTGTCTGAATCTTGCTGTACTCATGGCTGCTAATGTTCTTCAGGGACAGAGTTGAAAGATGATGATGACATTGAGCTTTCACCGAGTGGACATCACCACCTAGGCATGATTTTGCTTTGGACAGCCTCCAAAGAATTCTGGTTTGGTTTGTGAACCTCTAATGAGCTGAATCCAGTTCATTTAATACTGCTTATATATTTATTTCTGCAAAGGATTAAAATGTAGGAATTCAAGTTTGTAAATTAAGTTGCCCACTTACCAGCTGAGTGGTAAGTTGTCTTTGGCTCAGGGTTGCAGTTTGATTCCTGGCTGGCATTCCACTCCCGTGATAGGAATTTTAAATGAGTTCTGTTAGAAAGAACTGCAGTGCTTATAGGACATTGAGCGTGGGCGATATCACTGCTTATTACTTTTTGTCTCAGAGAGGCAGGAGGAGCTGGCCACTCAAGTGTCAGGTCTGATTCACCTGGCGACTCTTGATTTGTATGGTGGTAATTTTACTTTTGAAATATACTCGTGACTGGGTCTTTGAAGCATGATATGATAATAGTACATCATTTTGGTATTTGTTAACTGGATGGAACTAGATTTGTGGTCTTTTACTTGCTGATTCTCCCACACTAACGTGTTTAGCAAATACACGGCTAAATAGATTAGTTCTGAGTGGTGCCCTAAAACCTAGTCTCCTTGGGTTTTTGTGGAGCTCACAGGGGACGTGAGTGTTTGGTGGTGCCTCTGTGGAGTGCTCCGCCTCTGGGCTCCTGGAACTCTGACCTGGGGATGGTTAACAGAAAGAACGGTGCTGGCAGACTTCATCTCATGAGAAACTGCACGGAGGACATACAGTTTTTAAGGGTACTAGGTTCTGACTCTTAGTTTTGATTATTTTAAAAACAGACAGCTAGTTATCCTTTCCTGGATCAGAGAAACAAATGTTTTGTTTTATTTTTCTTGTTTCTTGTGATCATAAATGTATGCATAGGCCTGTGTGGCTTGCCTTAGATGAAATAGCACCCAGGAGAACCAGGCTACAGAAACAAAAGGTATATTTATTTGTGTCAAGCAGAATTTGTAATCGGAGATTTTTCTTAAGTTATTAGGGCTATTGGGTTGATATTTTAACTATCCTTACCTTGTTTCAGATGTTTGTATACTCGGTTGCCTGCTGGTACAAAATCAGGGAAAGGGGGCAATGTGAGAGACTGAAGTTCATGGGTGCTTTTCTGATGTTCAAAGGAAAAGAGGACCTTTTTAGTTTTTAAAAACACATCTGTATTGTGAAGACCTTTATAACAACAAGAACAGGGAATAGAATTGTTGTTTTGAAAGATAGCATGGTAATTTGGTAATTTAGCATAGTAATTACATAGGAATTTGTTATTTTTGATAAGGTAATATCTTCACTTAAAACTTTTCAGTAAAATGGAATTTAAAAATGAGTTTCTTTTTGAAACATTTAAGAATCAATAGGTATTTTTCTTTGCCTTTACCTTTTACACCCTTTGGATATGCCTATTTTGCTATATTTTATGTAAAATATTTATTTCAGAACATAAGCATTCTATTTGGTGACATCTTAACATCCAAAATACTTTTTTAAATGCAGCTACCTAATTTGGCAGCAGCTTTTTCTAAAAGGAGACAGTCATTACCATCGTTTGGCTAAAATAATGTTTTTGGGGGGGTTATTGAGGCAAGTTTTAGGATCCCCCCGTGTTACTTTCATAATCGGAATTACATTGTCATCCAGTTTGAACAGTGTTTCTGCAGAGTAAGGGTGAGTGGGCAGGGAGGACGGCCCCAATTTGGGGTCCGTCGGCGGGAAGTGTTTGTCCGGGCTCTGTCCCTGAGTCCCCGTGGGGACCTGATGGTCACAGCCTAATTTTTGTTCTTTCCGACGAGAGCTTGGGCGTCCTGTTTTTAAGGAGCATTGTTGGGTGTGACAGGATGAGAAGGGAAAGCTTGACGACATGACAGAGAGGAATGGGTACCTAGTGTCTGTCTTACACTCAGAGTTCATTTCTTGAAAGTTTATGTTCACTTGAA